GTGGCTTAAAGCCACAGTTTAGACATTTATGTTAACACCAGGGGTTTTGTCACCTTGAAGTGATGGAACAGGACAAGATGAGATATCCTTAAATAAGGTTACACCCTGTATGTCTGATGGACTGATTTTGAAGCCTGTGGACTATATCAGTGGGGCAATAGAAGAGAAACTGACAGAGATTATATAATTCATGGATATACTGATTGCCACATATTTCTTGTTACCAGAGGTACAAAGCTCCTTTGTTTTCATTGCCGAAGAAACCTGAATTGATTTGATTACATTTTATCTTGTTCTTGAATCAGTTTTCTACTAAATTCTTCCTCCATTAGTTTTTTCCCAGACAACATTGGAGCAGGCAGAAGCTTCGAATGCATCCCTTTTCTGATCTGTAGCCATCATCTTTATCCATATAAAAGGAGTTTTACGTCATGTATCAACTTGCCCTCCTTTTTATTTATGTTTGTTATTGAGAATGGAATAGTTGTTGTAGCTTGTAAATTCTTTCATCTATAATAATTTTATAATGAATTGTAAGCAACAACTGCTGTCTTATTTTTCTTTATCAAATCTGACATCACAGCTACTTGTTCAGCCAAACAAAGCGTAGCCATCTTTCTTATGGGTGTAGCTGGGACGTATTTAGGGCGTGATCTTGTTCCCATACAAGTCAGTGGGAGTGTAACAAATGCAATGCTTTGGAAATATGGACCATTCAAAGACTGTTGTTGAAATATGGGAGATGCTATGGACACACAATGTTAAAAGACTATTATATCAAATTTATAAATGTTACATGTGTAACCCTTCTGCCCATCTAAGTTGGCAGCAACAAGGGCCGGGTTCTGTATCTAGGGGTTCCGTTTCAATAACGCAATGCAAAACCGGCTCGAGCCTCCACCCAGTGACCTGGGACAATTACATACCACGCCCCCCGGGCGCCTCTAGGAGGCAATACTTCCCCTCTCGCAAGCACGGAGTCTGAGTGTAGCAGAAAATGTTTAATAACATGAGGTAGACGACATTAGCATTAAATTGGAAAAACACCACAAACAGGATTCATAACACAAACCAGGAGCAAAAGACCCACCCCAGCAAATTGGGTTGTGTCCTTTCCCTTTGGTTCTTGAATCCAGCAACCCAAAAATCACCCAGAGTCCTCAAAGTCCAACACCCCCAAAGTCTCTTGGGTCCAGCAACCACCCAAAGTCCCAAAAGTCTGACAACCCCCAAAGTCTCTGTCCCTGGTCAGTGCAGCCCCAGAGTAAAAGGGGGCACACAGGATGTTAAGGGGCACCTTACGTGATCCGAGGCCGCAGCCTTCACCACGAGCCAGTCCACTTCCTGCCATCCCACAAACTGCTCTGCTCTACGAGCTGCTCCACTCACCGACCTGTGAGCCGCTCCAGCCGTCCCCGCAAACAGCGCCACTCGCTGTTCCTTCTGTCCCCGCAAGGCTGCTCGCTGCTCCTCCAGCCGTCCCCACAAACTTGCTCCGCCAGCCACTTAGCAATATAGCTTCACAGCACTCAGTGATCTCAGCTCTTAATAACTTTAGCTCTTTTGTGATTTCAGCTCATAGTAGGGGAGCCACAGTGCTGGTGCACCATTGGCCCAAAGTGAATTCAACTCAGCAGCCTGTAACTAGACTCCTAATGGAATCAAAGTTAGCTCTGACATTCATCAGTGGAGAGAGGAGATGGTGCAATTGGTGTTTCAAGCCCTCAAAAGGGACCTATAGCATCAGGTACAAATACCTATCCCTATTCTCTCTCAGTTCACTGGGTTTTGTAACCCATGCCCCTTGTCTAGCAAGTGCTACTTAATTACTGGTGAGTCTCTCTGTCATACAACAGTTCCACTGGCCTTGATTCACCGAATCAGGGTAACAACACTTTATTCTTCCTGCCCCAATAACAGAGAAACTGGGGATCCCACACCAGCCAAAGTAACCACTTTCAGTTGTTGTTGTCCCAGGCTAGGCGGGTAGGTGTGCCTATGCAAACAAGGTCAGCCCCTGAAGTTCTTTTCAACCCTCACCATAATTCACCACCAGATGTCAGGGTAGAGCTTATCCTGACTCTGCTTACACATGAATTTGTATGGACTGGCTAGTGATTGCATTCTTGGCTTAATGGAAGAACTCAAATCACTGGTGGTATTTAATGCAAATTTCTTATAGTGGTCAGTGCCGGGTTTACAATGGCGCCAGTGGCTCCATGGAGCTGGGCCCATGCCCAGAAGGGGTCCCGGCCTGCTTCACTTGCACTGCACCCCGAGACCCCACTAGCTCCCCATCACCACCACTTGCTCCTCTCGGCCTGCCTGCCAGCTGGCTGAGGGCTCCTCTCCGCCCCCGGTCCTACCCGCCAGCTCCTCTGCCCCCTGGCAGAGGTCTCTGCTTCCCACCACCTGTGGGGCCCCACCTGTCTCCCCGGAGCTGAGCCGCTTGGGACTGGTGCAGAAGCCTGGCCAGTCTCAACTCGGGGAGGGAGTGAAAGTTTAGGGGGCTTGGCTGGACCACTCCAGGCAAGTGGGTCCTGAGGGGGGCCGGCCGGGACAGGCCCTGGCCTGGCTGATCCCACCACTCTCAAGGTAATGGAGTGATTCCCCACCCTGAGAAAAGCTCTGGCTGCATTGCTGGCTCAGCCCGGCAGACACAGTCGCCCCCCAGCAGGGCCAGTGAGTGCGGCCAGGAGGCAGAGCGTGGGGGAATGGGTCTCTGGGGGGGTGCTGGGTTGTGAGAGGACGGGGAAGGTTCTAGTGTGTTGGGGCATTAGGGAGTAGGGTTGCCAACTTTCTACTCACACAAAACTTAACACCCTTGCCCCCCCCCGCCCTGCCCCTCCTCAGAGGCCCTGCCCATGCCCCACCCTTTCTCAGAGGCCCCCGCCCCCTGCTCACTCCATCCCCCCTCCCTCTGTCGCTTGCTCTCCCCACCCTCAATCACTTGCTCATTTTCACCGGGCTGGCTCAGGGGGCTGGGGTGTGGTAGGGTGTGAGGGCTCTGGCTGGGGGTGTGGATTCTGGGGTGGGGTCAGAAATGAGGGGTTCAGGTCTTAAATACCATTTTGACACCATTCTTCTTTATTTGTAAGTTTGTCCTATATGTCATGTATGTTGTCTTATGTTCTGCGTTGTCGCATGACTAATTTTTTTTTATTTGCAACAAAAGTCAATTTTATACTCAATTATAATTTATTTTGAACAAGAGTGGTATCACCCTATTTAAATATTATGGTTGGGTTATAACCATAATACCACAAATTTTTTTTGCAGAGCTCAAAAAGGCCTCAGATATAAATACAGTAACTCCTCACTTAAAGTCGTCCCAGTTAACATTGTTTTGTTGTTACGTCGCTGATCCATTAGGGAACATGCTCGTTTAAAGTTGCGCAATGCTTCCTTATAACGTTGTTTGGCAGCTGCCTGCTTTATCCACTGGTTGCAGAAAGAGCAGCCCGTTGGAGCGAACTGGTGGGGGCTTGGACCCAGGGTGGACCGGCAGCCCCCCTATCAGCTCCCCGCTCCCCTAAGTTCCCTGTGCGGCAGCCGTCCAGCAGGCTATCAATTGCTGGCAGTTCAGCTGTCCCTCCCTCCACTGCCATGTGCTGCTCCTGCCCTCTGCCTTGGAGCTGCTCCCGGGAGCTTCCTGCTTGCTGTGCAGGGGGAGGGGGAAGAGGGGAGCTAATGTCAGGGTGTCCCCCTGCTCCCGCCCCCCGCTTACCCCATCTCCATAGAGCAGGGGGGACACGACAGGGCTCAGGACAGAGGGAACTTGCTCACAGCAGCTGCTGTCTCAACTTGCTGATCTACTTAAAAAGGCAATGTACTTAAAGGGGGTTCAGCGTACTTAAAGGGGCAATGCGAATCTCTCTCTCTCTCTCACACACACAGGGTGTGTGTCTCTGTCTCTGTCTGCCATGCTGTCTCCCCTCCCTCCATTTGTGCTGCCTTGTAGAGTGTGAGGCTACATTAACAACAATGTGTTAACCCTTGAGGCCTCAGCCGAGTACTAGTTCATCATTTAGCAGTAATATCCCACCCTCTGACTCCACCACCTCAACCAAGCTTCACAATCATCATTGCTGTGTACAGTATTAAATTGTTTGTTTAAAACTTATACTGTGTGTGTGCGTGTGTATTGTTTGTTTAAAACTTATACTAAGTATAAGTTTTAAACAAACAATATATAATATAATATAATATATAATATAGTCTTTTGTCTGGTGAAAAAAATTTCCCTGGAACCTAACCCCTCCTATTTACATTAATTCTTATGGGGAAATTGGATTCGCTTAACATCGTTTTGCTTAAAGTCGCATTTTTCAGGAACATAACTACAACGTTAAGCGAGGAGTTACTGTATATGGACTGATAGATTATCTCAATAATTCAATTGCAATTTTTAAAAATTAATAAAATGCTTTTTGTTCAAAGGAAAAAATTGTAAGGGAAAAATCTCAACATTAATGCAAAGGCAATAGTGATAAAAGCATAACTTTTTTAGCCATTTCTAAATTTATTTGCACCTTTATTAGATATTAAAATACAGTTATAAGTGTGTTATAGCCAAAATGTCTCAACATTTCTCTCTCTCATCTGGTCTGGATATGGGCTGTTTTTCTCCTATCAACAATTGGAAACAGACCAAACACCAAAATTTTCTAATGTTGACTTCCTCTATAATCAGCTCCCCCAGTGTGCTCCTAATGCTACACAAGGTCTAACTTTTATATGAGAATAATGTCTGCTGTCATCTGGTTTAACAATCTCTAAATCAATTTCTCTCAGGATAATGAACCTCTTAATTTCCTTTTCTTTTATTATTTGGATTGAAGTTGCCAGACCAGATGAGAGAGAGAGATTTTAAGGTAGTGATATGATTGAATGTTTGATACATGTAGTTTGCAGTCTCTTGTACTTCTAAGAAAACTACATTTTTCTTCCCACAAGTTACAGTAACAGTTTTTAATATTTAACAACAATATTTAAATACACTAGTCTTCTTTCTGATGTTTACCAAATCGTTCCAACAGAGCTCTTAGTATACTTCCTGGTAGTTCTTGGTGTCTGTCTCTTAGCGTTTCAATGGCAATCTTTGTCTGTTAAGAGAAAGAAAGAGGGGGAAACCTTTTATATTTCAAGAAGGACTACTTCAATCATCATTCTCTTCTAGTTTTCCCAAGGATGCTAAAGGTATACATAAAACTCCGTGGAAAACGTTGGGGGAGGAGAGGGCAGGAAGGGTAAATCCTTCACAAGATCCCATGAAGACCATGCTGAGGGATAGTCTCATTCCCACACACCAGTGTATTTTTCCCTGTGATAACCAAACATACAAAACAGCTAGATCTACATATGCAATAGTGCCATGGAAATGTTAGCTCACTACCACTCCATCTTGCAAACCCTGAGGCACATGAATAACTCAGGAGATTAGTTTCATTAACTTCAATAGGACTACATATTTTATTGAAATTATTTACTTGTATTTGCAGGTTTGAGCCCTTAAACTGTAAGTGTGACTTGATATAATTTCATATTTAAGTTTGACAGTTTTTTCAATTGGAGTTGTTGTAAAGATCTTTTAACTAAGCTATCACTGCGGAAATCCTATTCCGATGTAAAACCTCTGCCACAAGGTTTAGAAAGCAGTTTCCCCCTACAAAAACAGCTATTACCTTTTCAAACCCTATTTTAAATGTTTACTATTCATTAAAATATGCATCAAATCATTAAATAAAACGGGAGGTTCAGGATGTAAAAGCCTGTTTTTTCAGGCATGTTAAATCTCATCCACTGTAATTTTGCTCAGACTAAAATCTGATAAATATTCAGCTTGGACCCTTCCCCTTGCTCTGTTGTAATGATTAGGGCCCAGAGGGCCTTCTCTAATTACGGGCTTAATTTATGGAAAGTGGGTAAAAGTTCATAATTGTCACAATCACCTTCTATAGAACATTATTTAAGAAGGAAAAAGGAGACATCTGAATTAAACAGAGAGGATCTACTGATACCACCCAAGGCCTGTGCTTAAAATCATGTCTGATAAACAAGGGGAGTATGGGACTGGAACTCAATGGACCAAAATTGGTACTTCAGAAATTAATCCTAACTGGTGGACAAAATAAAAAAAGGATGGGCTATTCTGCCCATCACCCCCTTTTGGGGTCCTTTTAAAGAGAGACTTTGTGAGGGAAAGGAAAAACCATTTGCACTACTGCCGCTGCTGCTGGGGGATTTTCATTGTGACATGTGGACCTTGGCACACCAGTGGAGAGGCTTAACCAACACACTGCCCCAGCAAGGACCCCAACTTGATACATTTGAGATCCAACTCTGTCCTCCTGTCTCTTGTGTGTCCCATCCTGTCCCTCAAAACTAACTACTGTCCTCTCTCTCAGCTTTCTGCCTAATCCAGAGACCAAAAGCACCACATGGTCCCAGCATAACAAGGCGAGATGGTCCATCCAGCTCTGCCAGTCAGAGAAGGACTAGCAGAGGTAAGGGACCTGACCAGACCAACCAGATGATATCCCTGACTAGCCTCTTTGTGTCCTGAGAACATCAACAAAAGCCATATTTCCCCCAACTTTTACTATCCCATCACATCTCCTCCTGTGTCTATTTTGTCAACAGCAAAACTAACTCTTCCCCACCAAGACGGGCTGCTTGACAGAGCAAGAGACTCTAACCCTTATTCTTTATCTCTGAAAAAGGGATTGTTTGTTTTGCATAATCACTTAATTTCACTTTTTGCCTTGTTTTGATTCTTTTCCTTTTGTGTATCTCGGTCAATACATTTCCAGCCTTTGCCATGAGTTTTCTAGTGTGTTTTCCACAATAACTAAGCAGCCTGAGGTCTCTGTACTCAAGACCCCAAACCTTGTTTAAAATGGTTCATGTTGTATAATGACAGTCATGTAAACACCTCCAGTTCTCTGGGCCCACTTATTCCACCCAAAGTGACACAACAGCTTCCCCTCAGCATCCAAAAAAATGTTTTAGTTGGGTGTTCAACACTTGTGGAAAGAATCAGACTATTTATTTAGGTACCTAACTATGGATTAGTGAGCCTAAGATTAGGCACATATATTGGCCAAGATTTTCTAAATTATTTAAATGGATGGGAATCGGGAAATGAAAAACATTTCTGATAGTAGCATTAACCCCCACAGGGCTCCAGTAAGGCCAGAACCTCAGCCAATTCATACCAGCTGAGGATCTGTCTGATAACATTTATCATTTGCAGAGATATAACTATATATCTTGTATGTAGTGTTGTTGTAACTCTGTTGGTCCCAATAATAAAAGAAAAAATACCCTAATCACCCACGGGCGAACACTTTTTCTGAAATGATCAACTCCATATCTGACCTCTCTGTCCTTGTAATCAAAGGAAAACCTGCATAAGATCTTCAAAAGACGAGACTGGGAGCTTAAATTCATAACCTTGCTAGACACTAAAAATCACGGACTCAACAGAGATGCTGGTTTTATGTCTCATTAACACAATCTATGACCAAACTAACTCTCCTTTGTCCTAAGACTGCAGATATGGTAATTGTCCACCGCATCTTGAATGGTCTCTTGCGACATATGTTAACTTCTTATACTTAACGATCTGCTCCACCTTCTATTAGGCAGTGACACCCTGAGTACCTTTCCCAGACCTGAAAAAGAGCTGTGTGTAGCTCAAAAGTTTGTCTCTTTCACCAGCAGAGGTTGGTCCAATAAAAGATATTACTTCACCCACCTTGTCTCTATTTTGTATGTGTCCATGCAAGGGAAAAAGTGACTGGAGTGTGGGTCCTTGTTACACATTTTGAAGGGCTCTGCAAGGTATTTAGTGTTTAGGAGGCTGAAGAGTAGGACTTGACTATAATGTGTGTAGTACAGGTTCAGGGACAGACTTTCAAAAGGCACAAAGGGCAGTCAATGGAAGTCAATGGGAACTGGCATCTAATTCCCTTTTGTCTCTTGGAAGATCTCCCCAAATCACTGTGCAAATATCGACCTTTTCTGTCTTTAATTTCATGTTGTATTAATATATTTTCTTTGATTTATTTTCCATTTCAAAAAAAAAATCAAGGGAAACTACCTCTGAGTTTACATATTTCAAGATGGCCTGCAATGTGAGACCTTTCTGCTATTAGTTTCTTGTGACAGAGTGCTGAGGCCTGACAGGTGGGTCAGCACTCTGATCACTGTAGCCTGAATTAGTTTCCCAGTGATGGCTGATTTAGCAAGTAGCTAATCAGAAAGCGATGCTGGGGAGGCAAGGAACTAATTAGGCCTCAGTTGGCTAACCTGATAAACCAGAAAGGAAGTGTTACAAGGGGGGAAGACTGGACTAGCTGAGTCAGACTGAAACAGCTCCCAAAACAGGGAGATCTCATTTCCTAGGGTTCTGGTAAAGAGGGACTAAAAACTGTAGGAATTAAAAACTGTGATGTTGCACTGTAGTGGTGTTGGGAGAAGGGTTTGTAATAAAATACAGACTGAACTCTAAAAGAAAGTGGGTGTGACCAGTTTCTGGGGCAGCAGAGGATGGGAACAGAGCATTGCCCTGAAACATTGCTCCTTTAGGATAAGTAAATAAACTAGCCTCAGGGATTTTATTTCCATATATTTTTCATTAGAAATAGACTTTTCCATTCTTCTTTACAGGAGAACTTGATAAAATCACTGTAAGATTAAATTAGTATTGCAGCCTTATGTGATATCCTGAGATAAATCTTTGTTTCCCTCCAAACAGTCCCTGAGACTACCCACAAATTGTTATTCCCTCTGTTCCTCTCTCCCATAAATCAAACAAAAGCTAGATTGTGTTTGAAGAGTTTCAGTTTAGGATACAGCCTTGTGAGACATCACTAGTCAGTTCCAATACCAAAGAAAGGGAAGTGACAACTATAGATACCTGTCATTTCTATTGCAAAACAAACTTAACATGCCACGGAAAAATGTCTTTGGGAAAAAAGAGTGGCCCATTTCAGACAGTTGACCCTACTCATTACCACTTCAAAAGTTATTTTTCCTTCCTTGGTATCCTGCTGTTAATTGAATTGTCTCGTTAGACTGACCTCACACTTGGTAAGGCAACTCCCATCCTTTCATGTATTTATACCTGCTCCTGTATTTTCCACTCCATGCATCTGATGACTGGGTTCTAGCCCACGAAAACTTAGGAGTGATTGCAGACACTCAGCTGCTGTTGGACAATAATATGACAGCAGTAACCCAGTCAGCTTTTTACCTTCTTTGTCTGATTAGGACCTTGTATCCTTTAAAGACCCACCTCTGCCATTTGCACCCTTATTACCCAAGATTAGATTTTTGCAATGTGCTATCTTTAGAGCTACACATTAAAAGCATTCAGAGAGGAACACTAGGGCAGAACACAGTGGCATCATTCTGGGAACACATGCCATCCGTGCCCTGGGATTTGTGTAATGGTCTCTGGTGGAATTTAAAGTGTTGGTTATGACTTTGGAAGCCTTAAATAGCCTGTGACCTGCCTACCTGAGGAATTGCCTCTCTCTCCGTGCCACCGTGCCACAGCTGTGGTCACCAGAGGCACTCAAGCTGAATCCCCTTCACTAGAAGGGAGAGAGTAGCGGATAGCAGGGCACTCTCTGTGAGGGCTCTAAGATTTTAGAACTTGCTCTAAATAGCTGCTAAACATCTGTTAGACAGGGTTTTTGGCGAGGGCTGAAGTTTACACTCTGGAACTATGAATGTGTGGAAAGAAGCTCTTTTGTGGGTGGGTGGCTGGGAGAGTTATTCTCTGAAAGATTGTTTTAATGCTGCTGAGGTTTTGTTGTAATATTAAGTATGTTTTAGGGCACCGGAGCTTTGTGTGGGCATTTCTAAAAGTTATTAATTTACTTAAGTTTAAATAATGTAATGTATTTTAGCTTCTTTTAAGACAGTTTACCATCTGGAAACAAGGAGCACAGCCAGGACCTTGTGATCAGCCAGCTCATCACAGACCAACAGCAAGTGGTTCACAGAACACAGTCCAGAAACCTCTGGTGTAAAGTATTGAGGGAGAAGGCCAGGGAGGATGGTGACAAGTTTAGAACAATGCACAAATCTGTGGAGGAATCTAACAGTGTCAGGAGAAAATGATATTTCAGCCAGAGATATGTTACACTATGTAAGATGGCTGATGTACTGTAAGAAAGTTTTACTTCATAAGAAACCAATAGACATGGAATTTAATGTCAGATACTACAGACCTAACTAACATCATTTAAACTAAGACTGTAGACTCCCGAAAGTTTCAAAGAGAACACCCAACTTACCTTTTCAACTAGTTCTGTAGCTGTTATATTTGGATCATATAGAATGGGATCTCCAATATATGTGCGAAGTTTGACTGGGAACCCTCCATATACAGGAATGAGTGGCAATCGAGAACGTTCATAGAACCACCTAAAAAACCCTGTGAATTAAAAAAAAGGTGGGACGGGGTGGTGTTACATTTTGAGAGAGAACCTTAGAAGCCAGCAGAGTCCCTGAATCATAATGATTCTGGATTGCAACTAACAAATTTTAAATTATATGGGTGTTTGATGAAAGGCTACATAAAGTACATCAAACAATATGTAAGGCACATAATCTTGAAAATAATTATCTACTCTTACATTGCCTCCTGCATATTATCAGGTTAAGATGGGTCACCATGTAGAGAACAATTAATGTTTAGTCCAATAAATGCATAATCACATTAGCTAACCAATGTGGACTTCAGTTTACATCACAAAGAAACAGTTCCAGAATTAAAAGAGAACAAAAGCTTAAAAAGAAATTCACAAGACGAGTATTTCCCAGAAACAGTTGATTTTGAAAATATAAATAAAAGAAAACTCTAAGAACGTGAAAAGCTACATATGAAGTAAATCTTACCTATTTTTCCAAGTGTCCTATATCCTTCCTGAATATTCTGTGTAAACAAAGGGATGATGGGCTAAGAAATAAGGAAAAAGAAGTGGTAAGACTTTGGACAATAGTTCAGCCTCAGTTTTTGTATTTAAATATTGCATCTATATCATGTGGTTATAGGCATCCTATTAAATCAAAATGAAACTGATAAGTTATCATGACTAGAAACTCAAAAGGAGTCACATGTTTGTCAGGAAAAACTACAGCTAGTTATGTACCAGGTGAGGCTCCATTTTCTGAGGGTTCTTAGAACCTATGTCACATGTTGCTATTATCAGGATGAACACCAAAACAACACTGACAGGATAACATTTAGAAGCAGAAAAAATAATTCCACAAATATCAGAATTTTCAGTTTCATGAGTTTGTTCAGCAATTTTTTTCAGTGCCTAAGAAGTCAGAGTTACTGAGTTAGCCAAAAATCATCCAGACATATATTATTTTGGTAACCAAATCTTTCAAAAGTTCTATAGAAAACAGACTATCAATGTACTATGAAACACCTGCAAATCTTGGGGCAAGGGACAAGAAAGGATGATCATGCGTAACTAAATGTTTCCTTTCTAATGCCTTTAATACTAAATAGTTTTAAGAAGTTGTAATTTCTCAGAAAATTATTTCCCCTCAAATATGATGCAGATTATTGTTTCTCTGAAGCACATATTGAGCTAGTATAGGTCACATCACGTCACAGCAGAGGTTCTTCCTAAATCTTATGTTGTGACAGTGTCTTCATTATTGTTATTATAGATCGAGTGCCACCCATGTACAGGCCTGGTATAGAACTTTGCTTCCCCTTCAGTTCCTATCCCAAGTGGTTTATCAGAGATATGAATCAGAGCAGGGGTTCTTAAACTTTTTTATAGCGTGGACCACATCTTAACAGAGAGTGTATTTCTTGTGCAACATCCCTACAACAACTGCTTAGAGGGAAAAGTAACATCAGGAAATAAGTTATTTTTAAACTATTTAATTTTTTTAAAAGTCACACTATCTGAACATGCTTTTCATTTAATCTTGTCATCATGCCATCTGTTCCAAATCTCTCACTCATCCGGACTAGGCTTCTCTGGCATTAGGTCACCTTCTTTTCTCACTCAGTGTAACATCTTGTCCCCCTCTCTCCTGCAAATATTGCCTGGCTCCGTTCTACCACTGATGGCTGGAGTCCTATTTTTCAGCTTCCAGGTCCTCTCCTGCCTGCAGTCCCACTCCTGCTGGTAGTTCTGGTCAAAGAAAGCAGCTCCCGTTTCCTTTCCTCTTCTTTTGAAGCAGCAGCCCCTAGTGGAGACAGCTAAGCTGACTCCTCCTTCTTTCCTTCTGCTTTTATTTCTTTAAAATGTATCTCTTTCAAGTCATATCTATACAGTTGATAGAAATTTGACTAATAACAGAGAGGAAGGATGATGTTCCTTGGACCACGTTTTATATTTCCAAGACACATTGAACTTGTGCATTAATCTTGCTCTTCGCCTTTCTTCTGTTATAACAGCTCTATTCTTCATTAGTCAAACAAAGCTGCAGTAAAAAATATATGCAGAATACCATATGCTGGATATTGTAACACCTATGTGACAAAATGCTACCCATAGCACCCTGATCACGGAGGTTGCTGCAGCACAGAGAAGGCTGCTGACTTAACTGAAAGCCAATAACCCATTTCTGGTGGGAGGATTACTGACACCTGGGTGCTAACTGTTGGGCTAATGAGACAATTGGCTCACTACCTAGGAGTAACAGGAAGCATGGGAGATCAGAGAGTGACCATGAGGAGAAGAGAAGGCTGTGTGTCAGTCTCCTCCTGCTGGATATCCGTGTCATGTTCTGTTTTGCTTAGGAACTGAAGAATAAATGTACACATGGTGAAAGGGAAACAGCATGAGTGAGTTTCTGACAGAGACCATGAAAACAGGCTGGGCAGCACTGCCCACTGGGTAGCTGAAGAGGCACCTTGTGACAACCTACTTTTGTACATCATAAAACAACCGTACACCTGAAGAATTCTTCATCCTACTCCACTGATATAATATTGAATTTAAATTAGTCCAATTTACAGTTAAAATAGTCACTTTGTCCCCTTCCCTCTTTTGGGGTTTGCGGATTTTCTACCACATAATTTAAGAAGGGAATCTACAATCTTTTCGAAGATTTAAAGTTAAAAGTCCATTGCTCCATTTCCATCACATGTCCTGTGGTGCATAACCAGTCACTACAAGGTGGGGGGAGACTCATAACTTCCATGTTCTTACTATAGTATATTTGCCTGCTAGAAAGAACAGGCCCAATCTTCTTTTGCACCAGTTCTTCCTAAAGCTGGCTTAACCAGCCACATGTGGAGTTCCTCTGCCTATGAAGTGACCCAGAGACATCAGAGCAGCTCTCATTACACCTTCTTCTCCAACCCCCAGCATGGGGGAGGAGGAGTAGCTGGGGAAAAGGAAGCATGACCAGGGGGTGTCTACACCCTGGAGATCCATGGTTGCCATTATGGTCCCTTGAGGCCAAGGGCAGCCTACTTAAAATAGAGCATCCTCAAAGCGTCACCAACACTGAGGCCCAGTAGCCCCAGGGTCAGGAGAGTGCAAAGGTGACAAATCTACTTTTGCACTTCCCATGTTGAGATGCACTGAGCACAGATCAGATACAGCCCAAGATCTGGGCCAAAATTTTTAAGAAAAGTTTTGAGATTTTCCATTTAAGTTGCTATTGTTTATTCCTAAATGTGCCTCCTGCAGGGAGAACTTACCATTTCTCAGTCCATTAATGTTTTTGGTATCATTTATAATTTTCTGTCAATAATTCTGTATTTTCAGGTAATGCCAAATTATGTTTTCTAAGTCTTATTCCACACTGCACTACTTATGTAGCAGTAATTTCAGGGACAACAGTCTTATAGGAGTATGACAGAATCTATATTATGGAGACACAGACAGTAGGACATCTACTCAGTTTTCCATTTAAAGCAAGGATTCAACCCGTTTGCTTTGTATGAAGAACTCCCAAATTTACAGCATGTAACTGTGACTGAAGATTGACTTGAAGACTCAGAAAACCCAATCTGAGAATTTATAAAACGAGAAATTAAAAATGGGCCCTTTAAGAAATTATTTTAGACCCTTCCACTAAAAAATGTGTTAGTACTAACCCTTTAAATTTTTGAGATGGAAAAACAAGAATTCTCCATGTTGAAGCTCTCCACTGCTTCTACAATAGCCCACACAAAGGCATGTTTTGATACAATAATATTGTCAATACCAACCTTATTCATCATATCTTTATACACAGACACACACACTCACTTTAATGGTATGTATACATAAATTATGTTCTGGAGCATGAATAGAATCTATCTCAGTAAAATTATAATCTCTCTCTAGAATGTAGCTTGCACCATAACATCACTAATTGCAGTTCAGTGCTAGCTTTGGGGTATTCTTTTTCATATTTCCCTACTTCTTTTTTTTAAATAGTTAAGCTATCTTTAGTTCAAGGACCCAATTAAAGTCCTATATCAAAAAATACCTTTGACATGTGGGTTAGGATCTCAGGGCAAGTCGACAGTTAAAATGCTGCATTGATGCAGCCACACTGATGCAACTACTAATGCTGTAGCGCTTTAATGAAGATGCGCTACACCAATTGGAGAGACTGTAGTTAATCCACCTCCCTGAATGGCACTAGCTATGTCGATCGGAGAAGCTCTCCCACCGACATAACACTGTCTACACCCAGGGGTAGGTTGGTATAACCACGCCACTCAGGGGTGTGGATTTTTCACACCCCTGAGCAATGCAGTTGTAGTGTAGACCAGACCAAAGGGAAAATTAACAAACTGTTTTATTCCATTGGGGAGACAGGGTGGGTGAGGTAATATCTTTTATTGGACCAACTTCTGTTGGTGAGAGAGACAAGCTTTTGAGACACACAGAACTCTTCTTCAGGTCTGGGAAAGGTATTCCCAGCACTACAGCAAAATGCAAGGTGGAACAGATTGTTTAGCGTAAGTAGTTAGCACATATTGTAAGGGACCATTCAAGGCAAAGTGGCCCGCTAACACCTCTGCAGTCACAGGACAAAAAGAGGATGTTAGTGCATTACAGATTGCTGTAATAAGCCATAAATCCAGTATCTCTGGGCTTGGCTACACGTACAGCGAGGCCGCTGTGCTGCTGTAGTACTTTAGTGAAGACTCTACTACACCGACGGGAGAGCTTCTCCCATCAGTGTAGTTAATCCACCTCTGGAAGAGGCAGTAGCTATGTCGATGGGAGAAGCCTGACTTTTATTCACAGCCTGTAGTTCAGGCCTCAGATCTTGCAGTTCAGTTCAGGCCCAGTGCTCCAGGCTCGCTCTCTCTACTACAATAGGGCCTTCAGGCCATAGCCAAGTCATTGAATAGCCTCAGTGTATGTCCTAGGCTGAAATCTTGGAGAAATGCTGCTTGAAGCACACAAAGTAAGTCTCTCAATACTATTCCTTTTCTAGGGGAGATTCATTTTATTTCTTTTATATACAATAATTGGTTTACAGAAAATATCTTCTGCTGACACTTCACACTGTTATGGGATTACAATAGATTAAGTGTTTTAATGTCAGTTTTTGTTTAAAAGTGTTCTGATATATCCAGTCTAATTCTTTGGTTAAAAAGTTAAACAAAACTAGAAAGGACTCAAGTTAAAAAACATAACAAAATACAGCAATAGCTTTTTTACAGATAAATAAGAGGCTACTTAACTGGAGACCATTAATCTTAAAACCAAAGTCCTCTATATTATCCCTCAAGTACACAGTCTCACAAGATTGCTATTCTTATATTTGACATTAGACTATAATAATCCTGTTAATATAAAAATAATTGATTTTGAACCTTCTTAGGTCACATTTTATAATCCCAGAAAGAGGATCCATTTTACAAAACATACTTGAAATCAGAATTACTTGATTGATCTTTGGATCCCTGTGTTGTAGAGTATACATATGTGCTAATGTGATGGCTACCATCTGGGGGATTGAATCAGGGCCTTTCAGAGCGAAAAGCATGAATATTGAAAGCTTCAGTTAAAGAGCTAGTCTCTGTAGCTAGCAGCTGTAATAGACTCACATTCTTTGTGGCTTGGGCACAGAGACGGGTATGTAACATACAGTGATCAGTGGGTTACACATATTTATATACACACACAAGAAACCACTCACCACTTTTGCATCTATGGCCACTTGAGCAAAGCCTTTGCGATTACCCCACAGGAGGTTGTAGTTTTCATCACTAAAGAATGCTTCTCGACCTCCACCTGGTGCGACACCCAATAAGTTGCCTTTCTTCAGAATTTCAACACTTTCATCTCTTCCACTATGCACTGCAGGTAACAGGTTTAAATACAGTTGTATTCCTGCAATAAACGTAACCAGTAGAGACCAATATGGTGCATTAAACCTCATTACATAATTATTACTTGCACATATTGAAAATAAAATCTAATCAAAAACTCTCCAACACACACACGCCCACCCACCCCTTCAGCAATTTTGTGTGTCTACATATTACATATCTGATAAAACTGGAGATGTCATAGTCATCAGTAATAAATCTGGTATAAATACTCAAATATAATTAGGGGTTACAGCTTCAACCCACAGTAGCATGGAAATGTACTTGCACTTTCCAAGTGTGGCAGAGTTCCAGCCATAATAATCAGTATGATGGACAAGGAAGGTATCAAGAGACCTTTACCCAACACTGGACAAAAGAACTGGCAAAATAGATGGAATAAAAAAACAGAAGAGTTTCTGCAGGGTGACTGGACTGTGCTGAATGGACTTTGTATTTTTCAGTTACTGCTCCTGTAGCTGTTGATGGGTACAAATTTAAAGACAATATTTGACTTTATTGAGAATCTTGCCTGAACAAAGGCTGAAGAATTTGGTCCATAGTTTCACTGCTACATTAAAAAACTTCTGAGACTTTGTATCAGGCTCAACTGGCAATAAGAAATGTTTTACAAATTTACAGCTTGAACTTGAATAGCCCTTTCATGTTTGTGCCCTCCCTGATTTGAATGTGTTAAAAGAAAGTCACACATAGTTGCTTATCCAGAAATATATACACACACAACACATGATAATAAGCCTAACTTTACTATTACTTTATTGTGAAATGAATAACTTTTGTTTGGATTATAGGCTATAACTTCTTGTAGTCTGAGGACAAGGGGCAAAGAGTCACAACACAGGGAAACATGATATATATCTGAATACCCAGAGACAGATTAAAAATGGTGGCATACACAGATTTTCTGTTTTTCTAATTTGCTCCAATAACATAACTATGCTAAGCGTAGTAAGATTTTTTGAAACTACAGATGTATACTGGGAAATTTTACAACCATTTCTTTCTTTCTGAGTTCACAAGTTAGTCTTTGAGATTTTGAGTTACAAATGAAATAAAGATTACTGAAAGTGAGATGTTCCTCAGCAACTGTTTTCAGTTGTCTTAAAGACACTTCTTACAAAAACACTAAACTTTAAATGAATACAAAAGTGGAATCATACACACCACAATGAGCACTATGGGGAGTAAACAGATCCTAAGGAGAATAGCATAGGTGAACAAACCACTAGCTCCTAGGGAAATTTGTATATAATTAACAAACCTCTAGATACAGTAAAGGTAAAGGTAGTGTAATAGAGTCCTTGGTGGGTTAGTGGCCTAGTGGTTAGTGCACCTAGGGCCCACCCCTCCCGCCACAGTGGGCCAGTCTTACAGTCCTGGTTGCCCTTTGCTCAGAGGTGCAGTGAGGAGCACAGGTGGTTCAAGTCCCTCCTGTAGTGAGGGCAGGGGTAGGGGAGCCTTGGCCTGCCTACCCCACTGGGAACCAACCCTGGGCCCAAGGAGGGTCAACAATATCTGGCCCTCCCAAAGGTGCCCTCTGAGTCACCCTCCCTGGGTCACTTCCTATCACTGCTTTTCTCTCCCCACCTTCAGTTCCAGATAAGGAGAAAAGAAAGGGTAACCAAACCATCTGTCCCAACCGAGTTGAGCATATATTTTCCCTCAGGGAAGCTTCTCTGGCACTCTTGTCAGAAGCCTTCAGAGTAGGTCTATCCTTCTCCCCAGTCTTCCCGCTTCTGAGCTGTGCTGCTCCCTTTTCAACCCCATCTCCAGTTGGAGCATGCTCTGCAGGCTGGAGGGACAAAGCTACCTGGGCCCAGTACTGTCCTTTAACCCCTTCCAGCCCAGTGTGGGGTTTATATACCCTATCACAGGTAGCCTAATTTGGGTGGAAAATGACCGTGAAGAATCTTGAAGCATTAAACTTCAAAAGGTAAGGTTATTCACCCATAAATGTACACCTGAGAAAGAAAAAAACTCTTGTATACCAAAAAGGTACAGGATAATAAGATATCAATCTCTAAAAGAAAAGTTCTCCTTCGAGTAGCCTCTGCATATCCCACTCATGGGATGTGCTGGCCAAGCAGCTCTGATGGGGAAACCTAATTAGCAGTGCCCATTGGAGAGCTCACACACCCCTTCTTACCCTTCCTTCCCTGATTCCTGAACAGTCTAAAGGTCAGGCTATAAAAGGGAGTATAGTGATCCACAGCCACCTGGTTTCCTTTCAACACCTGCAGCCAGAGACTCAGAATCTCTCTGGACCATTAATACAGATGCTAAAACCCCTCACATAGTTCTGCGGGTAGAGCTAAGGATAGCAATTAATTTATAGTGTAGACCGTTAGGGTAGTTTAGTTTTAAAGTAAGAATTTTAATGGAAGAATTCAAATGGTGGTTCTGAAGAGGAAACCTGGATTCAAACATGTCTCCTGTCCGGAGGGGTTTTCAGCATCAGATGCACATTCTGGATGCCTTGCTTCCTTCCAAGAGACCACACAAAGGATGTCTATAATTACTGTAGGCCATCCCTCCCCATCAGTCTTGGAGGGAGGTCATACCCTCTCACTACCACATATCTATTAAGGCAAGGCTCAATGGAGAATTAGCAGTCTCAGGGCTCTGGCCCTCTGGGCAGAACAGAGAAAGAGGCAGTCTCAGGGCTCTGGCCCCCTGGGCAGGGCAGAGCAAGAAGCAGTTTTAAAGTGGCTCTGACCCTCTGGGCAGGGCAGAGCAGTAAGCAGTCTATTGCTTGCCCTCCTGGCTCAGGCAGACAGCAGGCAAACACAGGCCTCTTGGCCTAAGGTGGGTAGGCAGCCACCCCAGGGGTGGGGCAGCTGCAGAGGGTAGGGGGACCCAGGCCCACCCTACTCCACAGGGTCCTAGCCCACGGCCCCAACAGTGGCAGATGGTTCTGCCACTGGGTCAGCGAGGACCTGGCTGAAACACGCTGACCTGAATTCTGCCAACACAACCAAACTATCATCTGGTGTCCCTCTGCTACTTCCTACTACCCCTTTGGCATGTACTTATGTCTCCTGGGATTCCTCCGTCTCCCTGAGGTACACAGCCAGTGGCAGTCCCAGTAGCTCCTCTGGGTCCTGGCCTATCAGCAGTCCTGCCATCTCCTCTGGGTCCTCAGTGTAGCAGCACTCCATCTCAGGCACAGGGCTCGGCAGCAGACGAACAACAACGTCTGCTTCCCTCTCTGGCTCTTGAGCAACTGAGCTGCAGGGCCTGCCTTTTAAACTTCCTGTCCCACCCCTCTGCTTCCAGCAGGGTGGGCATGGCTTGCCTGGCTCTGCCTACCAGGGGATGGAGAGTGGTTCCTCCCTGTCAGTCTTGGAGGGAGGCCAGGCTCCCTCACTACAATTACCTTTTCCAAATCTGAGGATCTCAGATTTGGCTATGGAAGGTAATTATCACCCTCAATTGCCTTCTGTGATAGCAAACATTTTGTCTGAAGAGGAGGAATATATTCAGATACAAGACATTCAGATCCAGGCCACTGAACACAGATCACTAAACTTCCCCAAAATAATTGCTAGAGCAGGGGTTCTCAAACTGGGGGTCGGGACCCCCCAAGGGGTTGTAAGGTTATTATATGGGGGGTCGTGAGCTATCAGCCTCCATCCCAAACCCCACTTTGCATCCAGCATTTATAATGTTGTTAAATATATAAAAAAGTGTTTTTAATTTATAAGGAGGGAGAGGGTGTCACTCAGAGACTTGCTATGTGAAAGGGGTCACCAGTACAAAAGTTTGAGAACCACTGTGCTAGAGCATGTATTATAGAAAAACAACCAATCTTGATTTAAAAATTGTCAGTGATAGAGAATCCATCGCAACCCTTGGTAAATTGCTCTAATGGTTAATTATCTTCACTGTTAAAAATGTACACCTTATTTCCAGTCTGAATTTGTCTAGTTTAATCTTCCAGATATTAGATTGTGTTATACCTTTGTCTGTTAGACTGAAGAGCCCATTATTAAACATATGTTCCCCAGCTAGGTACTTATGGATTATAATCAAGTTACCCCTTAACCTTCTCTTTGTTAAATTAAATAGATTGAGCTCTGAGTCTCTCACTATAAGGCATGTTGTCTAATCCTTTAATAATTCTTGTGGCTTTTCTCTGAACCCTCTCCAATTTATCAACATCCTTCTTGAATTGTGAGCACCAGAACTGGACACAGTACTCCAGCATCAGTCACAGCAGTGCCAAATACAGAGAAAAAATATTCCTACTCAATATTCCCCTGTTTATTCATCCAAGGATTGCATTAGTCCTTTTGGTCAGAGCATCACACTGGGAGGCCATATTCAGCAGATTATCTACCATGACCCAAAATCTTTTTCAGAGTCACTGCTTCCCAGGATGGAGTCTCCCATCCTGTCAGTACAGCCTATGTTCTTTGTTCCTAGAGGTATACATTTACATTTAGCCGTACTAAAACACATATTGTTTGCTTCTGCCCAGTTTATGAAGTGGTCCTCATTGCCCTCAATCAGTGACCTGTCCTCTTCATTATTTACCACTCCCCCAATTTGTGTCATCTGCAAACTTTTATCACGGATGATTTTATGTTTTCTTCCAGGTCACTGATAAAAATCTAATATAGGGCCAAGAACCGATCCCGGTGGGACCTCACTGGAAATGTACCCACTCAATGACAATTCCCTGTTAACAATTACATCTGAGACCTATCAATTCAGAAAACCTTTCCAAAGCATTTAGACACACATCTATGTCATCCCCCTCTCCAAAATGAGGAAGTAATCTGGAGTTTATACCACCTACCAGGACAAGTACCTGACAACTAGTTCTACCTACTGGATTAGGACTTTGAAGCTGTTTGTCTTTCTTTCTCTCCTCATGCTGGTAATACTTCTCCTTTTCTTCTCTCTTGTACTTACGCTGTTTCTCCTAGTCTTCTCTCTGTTGCTCCTGATCTGCTAGCTGCTGCATTTCCAGATGCAGTTTGTCCCTTTCCAGCTGCAGATTCTCCTGATCTACTTGTAGATCTGTCTCTGATCCCAGTTGCAGTGATGCACTCAGACTGCATAGAAAAGAGGTAGTGCCTCTGCCAGCCACTTACCTGCTTCCCTCCAAGGAGCTGGCTCCAAGATTTACCCTGCCAGCTGTACCCTCTGCCAGTGGGCTGGAAATTCCCTGCAGACCTGGACCATTATTCCCTTCTGTTCATTAGAATACAGCAAACCTACTAACTGTGTTTTCATCAGGTCCTCAATGCTGAGCTGCCTTTCTGTGCACACCTCAACCAGCCAAGGTCTCCTCAGCTGTTCATAATTCATCTTCCCGTCTCTTTTCACAAAGACTTTCGCAAAAAGTTTGAGACTTTTCTCTGTACTTCTCCTTTCTAGGGTACTTACTTCCACTGCTGTGGAAACTTATGCAATTCACACTGATACAGATCCCCCACACACAATGCCATCATATATGTCACAGTTCAGGGCACCTGTATTTCCCCTCAGTGGTCCAGCAAGGGCACCCACTCTCAAGCTTCCGGCTCCCCAGCCATTGCCTTTGGATTGAGCCATTGGGTGGAGACATGCATCTCTCTCCTTTCTGACCAGGGTATTTCCAGGTTGAAGCACTCCTTGTCTTTACTGTGACTATCCCCAACAAAACACAGGCTGCCTAAGCAGGCTTGTTTTGCCTTCTCTTCAGAGGTGGTTAACAGTGTAATTACCACTATTAATCTACCAAACATCTCTTTTTAAACAAGCTTATTTTAGTGTTAGTATAAAAGCAATACAGAGAAAACACATTAAAATCAGTACAAAGACCTACATGTGTGCTAATAAGCTTACTAGAGATCACTCCAAATCCAATAAGGGCTCTGGCAGGAGCAATCCTTCAAACCCCACACGGGTTTTCCTATGGTTTCAAGTTCATAACACCCTTTGCTCAGAACAGGAACCCAGTCTTTTGGGGCCTAAGTAGGCCAAAGTCCTTCCAACCTTCCCTAAGGATTGTGACCTTCCGTGGACCACAGATCCTGTCCGACTGCTGGATCAGAAAGAAGGCCCTGAAATCAGTTTACCACCAGACCATTTAACCAAAAACCCTTCCTTTGTCTCTTGGTCCCTGAAGAATCCAGTTTGAACTAGTTTAGGCAAACCTCGCCAGTGGCTGGTGCTTCTCTAGAGATTTTGGAACCTGTGTGACTTTGACTAATCACCCCATATTGTTCGTAGTTCTGGGGGGAGCTATATTTACCCTTGCCATGGAAATACACACAATCCCTGCCCCGCGAGGATACTTAAACAATTCATTTAATACAATAGATTCCAAAGATTTAAAACTTGATTCAGTAAAGTTCATCCAGGATATTTCAGGAGATTACCCTATTTATCACACATCCCATGACTGTGAATATGCAGAGTCCATCTTGAAGAATCTCAGTTACAAGTAACCAATCTTCATTTTCAGAACATCAATTGGAAGAAGCCAGGAAAACAAAATTATTAAAGAAAACGTGCTGGAAGACTACATACAAAGACTATATGCAAAATTCACCCTTGGTACAACTTCATTAACTTCAATGGAATTACATCAAGGATAGATTTGCGTTCCGAGTCCAAATTTTCTTGTGTAATGCAAGTTACTGGTTCCTAATGACAACCTTAATGAGAGTTGGATGCTTCATAGGATTTCTATTTAAGGATTTCTATTCTCACCCTGAGAAAATAAGTTTGTTAGAATAGTTTATATTTTAGGATTTGCTCAAAAAGAGCCAATAATAAAGCTCGTTAAATGTTGCATTCTTCCAATTTACAACAGTTAATCATACCAATAATAAGTGAACAGAAAGAACAGTTCATTTTTATGTTAAAGCTACATGCAAAGTTTTTTGAAATCTAGAAATCTTTAGCTATAATTAAATTCAAAAGATCACAGAGTTTCACAAATGCTTGAAATTATACTATTTTCTGTAGTGCATACCTGGAAAGCATTTTGTTTAAGTCTTAATATTTGTAATAATGTATGTATCTCTAAAATGGTATGAATTAATATCTCAGAATTCAAAATATTACTAATTCTCTTATTTACAATAAAAATACTTTACCTGGTAACTTAGCAAAGAAGCGATCAACTACTGAGTAACAGAGTCTTCCCGTCTGTATATAGAGAGTATAGATAAACAAGCAGTAGTCTACAGGAGAGGCTCCATGGTAATAAACTATAAGCCCTGGTCCTTCCGGAATTTTTTCAATACCATGAAGCTCATAACCTGTCAAGAGTACAAAGTACAATAGTTTCAATACTAGCTTTATACCAGTCAACCTGTGATATAACATAAACTCCTTACTAGAGTTGTGGAAACTCTTGACGATATGTGGGGAAGCTGCACCAGGAGTAAGTTTTAGCATAACAATTAACTCTTGGTTCTGACAGTCAAACATTTCACTTGATAATCAAAATGCAGTGAGAAAATAGCAGCCTTATTCTTGATTTCCTGCATCACTGAACCATATGTCAGCCCACAGAGGCCTAAAATATTGGTGCACTCTTGAGTCATTGTTCTTATTTTTGTAATTGTAACCATGATTTAAGAGGAGTCAGAAATCAGGGGAAATATTCTTACCTGTAAATGGTATTTGTGACATACCCAGAGTACAATCTAGACTGGTGAGTAGCTCTTCCACGCCTGCCTGGGATGCCCTTTACACTGCTTAGTTACTGTAGCTTCCCATCAGGACTGCTCACAAACAGCCTCCAGCATGTAAGTTACTCCCAGTTATGTCTGTGTGTACTTGCAGCCTGCCAGTCACACCTAGGCTTTTACCAGCCTGAATTATGGTGCAGGGTGATGCCAGCATACTCCCAGTCCCAGATTTTCCCCAGAAATGTATGTCTTCTACTGCCCAGCCCTTCTCTGGACAATACAAGCTTATAGAAAGACCATCATTCTATTAATAGAAATGATATGCACAGATCTTGTTATCTCAAGTGGAGTTTCCCAAACACTTCAGTTCAAACACACTAGTTTAGATAAAACAATAAAACAAGTTTATTAACTACAAAGAGATAGATTTTATGTGAATACAAGGAATAAGGCATAAAAGTCAGAAATGGTTAGAAGAAAAATAAAATGCAACTAGTGCCTAATTTAACAAACTATGTTAAATTCAAAGCAAAGTTATTCTTACCACATGATCTCAACAGTCTTACTGACCAAACTCCTTAGGTTAGGACCCCTTCTTCTGTGTAATGGCTGTTTCCTTTTTTCCTTCTAGTGCACTGAATTGATGGACAGAGCATGAGAGAGGAGGTTGGGTGAGGTCCTATGGGGTGTCTGCCCCTTCTTTTTTATACTCCTGTCCTCCATTTGAGAAGCATTTCTAACTGGGAGCATGGTGCCAGGAAAACTGTGTACTCTGGAACCTTTGCTAATATGTATGTTTTCTGCCCATGACCTTTTTCCTGCCAATGAATAGCCACTTAGCAGGTAATGGCCCATTGACCTTGTTTATACTTGGCTGATGTGTCAGCTTGCCCTTTGTCTCTGAGGAACTGGTTTGACCACTCCTCAGACTTGGAACATGTTTCAGTAACGTCATACAAAGGAATGTTATAACTTCAGATACAATATCACCACACATATTTTACCAGGACAATAATGACCAGCAAATTATGAGTTTTCAAATGGTACCTCACAAGGCATACTTTGTACAAAGATTATTACAATAGTGTGAGTACAGGAGTACAGTCCATCACAGTATTCAACTAAAGATCCAGGCTATTCTCTAACTCGATGGGTTTTTTGTTTATGTCACACTTGGATAGTTATTAGCAACCAATGAATCTACAGACTATTGAGCACCACTTCAAATGAATAAGCCTTCTCATAGTTTTCCAGAGTTGTATATGCTACAGCTCTGAAAACTAAAAACACTTCAGACCTAGAAGAGACACCTGGATGGGATTAAAAAAAATCCTACTCAAGGCAAATCTAAAGTGGGGGAAAAAATATCTAGAACTTGAAAGTGAAATCATGAGTAAAAACAAACCCCAAACACAAAATAAAACCATGAAGCCAATGCTCATTAAAAGGATGTCAAAGACTAAAACAGTAATAAAACAATAGAAAAATCACCACATAATTAGAATGACTATAGGGCTGGAAGTACAAAGAAAGGCCTAGTGAACTGAAAAGTACCATGTCCTATTAACTAACTTTAACTGTTCGACTTGACCTAACAAGTTGTCTTACTTAAGACAACTCCCACCTGTTCATGCTCTCTGTATGTGTGTATATATATCTCCTCAATATATGTTTCACTCTATATGCATCCGAAGAAGTGGGTTGTAGCCCACGAAAGCTTATGCTCTAATAAATTTGTTAGTCTCTAAGGTGCCACAAGTACTCCTGTTCTTTTTGCGGATACAGACTAACACGGCTGCTACTCTGAAGAGTGAAGAATGCTTTTGGTAGATCAGGATTTAACATGATAAATTTCAGTCACTGGGTGAGACACGGTTGATGGCTCAGATGCCAGTCTTGAACAGTGCAACAAAATGAGCTGTCATGGAAATTGCTTATCAAATCTACCCCATCAGAAAGAACCTATGGTATTGTTTCCCTGTTAGCTTTCACTACTATATCTTTTTTGATTTAGTACAAAGTACAGTCATGAACAGTTATATTGTATTTTCCCCATTAGAAGCCTGAAATCATACTTGTCTATTCTCTGAAGTGTCTACCTTTCCCCCAATAATCTAACTTTTCCAACTAAATCTAATGGTTTTATTTAAAACCCGTTAGTTTATTAAGTACTATCCTAGTTATTTTTCTTGATGCAACATGCAGTGCAGCTGCATTATGCTGACCATTATTCCTAAATTATGAATCCTAGGACAATTTTGCACACATGGGGCCCAATTCAATAACCTTTGAAGTCAACATAAGAAGCCCCACTTACGTCAGTGCCCATAGTGGGAAATTCACCTTGGAAGGCCTGCACAAGCCTTTTGCCCAACTTAATCCTAAGAGTGAAGCTGCTGGAAAGTGGTAACATAGAAAATGCTACACAATATTACACCAATGGTCCATCTAATTCAGTAGCCTGTTTCTAACAGTGACCAACAGAAGATGCTCCAAACCTCCACAATGGACGATTACCAAAAAACATATCTGGAGAAAGGGTTATGTCTAACCATGCAGTTACAAGTTGGCTTGTGTCCTGAAGCACAAGAGTTTATATCTATAATACATTTTCAACATCATAGAATTGTGGATATTCATATTCAGATAAAATTGTCTAATTCTCTTTGCCTCCATAATACACTGTGGCACTTAGTTCTCCAGTTTCGTGATGCATTGTGTAAAAATAATTTTCTTTATCCAGTATAAATGTGTTGCTTTTAATTTCTCCCTTCTTGTAATATGGTGAAAATGTAACTAGACGCACATGATTAACTTCTCTATACTGTTCCAATAGTTTCTCTCTAAACTACATACTCTTAATCATTTTAATCTTTCATCATATTTTTCATCAAGCTTTTCCATGGCTCTCATGATCTGCAGTGTCCTTTTTTGGACCTATTCTATTTCTACTATATTCCCACTTATAGTTTCGATTTATAAGCAGTGCTGATAATAGTCTGGAGGTGGGAACAGAGTCCCCATTGAACAGTGACTGAATCACCACTCTCCTGAATGTAGCATCAGCCATAGCGACCAAATCCAGAGCATATTGCCTGGTGAAAGTGTGTACAGAATTCCAAGTTGCAGCTCTTCAAATTTCAGCGGCGGCGACCTGTTTATGGCAAGCAAAAGAAGTTGCTACAACTCTAGTAGAATGTGATTGTACTGAAGTAGGTACAGGAATTTCTGCTAATATGTAACATTCAATAATACATTGTTTAATCCATCTAGAAATAGTCTGTGAAGAAACCATCAAACCCACATGATTCTTAGCATGAGACACAAATAATATACATGATTTTCGAAAACCTTTAGTTCTATCTAGCTAATCAGCAAGGGCCCTTCTCACAACCAAAGTATGCAAAACAGATTCCTCTTTATTAGAATGTGCCTTTTGGAAAGATATCAGCAAATTAATTCTGTGATGGATATGAAATAAAGGTATTTTCAACAAGTGTGATGAATCAATATATGAAATTATGTGTTCTTTAAATCAAGAGTTGTGAACCAATCTGTGACCGAAAGTGAAGGGCTTATGGAAGCCAAAGTTAACATGCAGAACTGAAACTTCTGAATGTATTTGTTGAGGTTCCTTAAACAAAAAATTGGATGGAACCCCCCCCCATCCTTTTTCCTCACCAGTGTCAGGCCGCAGGGGTATTGAAACCAGGGGTCCTGGGAGTTATCTCACTCCAGTCCTCCACCTAGCAGCTCATAGACAGCAGCTGGGACTGGGGTCCATGAAGCCCAACTGGGGCATAAACCACATCCCTACCCTCTGATTAGAGAGCTCAAAGGCTCCTGATTGGGCCACTTTTTACTGTTTGTCAAAAACCATCTCTTCAGATTTTATTCCTAATAGACATCAGGGTTACCTGCTTTCAGAAGTGGTATTTGCTTTTAAAAATATGAACCAAGGCTTTTAAAAAGAAAATTAAGAAAAAATATTGTTTAAGAACTTAAACTACTAGCAAAATACCCATACCACTTTAAATTTACAAAAAGTACATGTTTAAAGATATAGAGATCAGTCAAGGACCTGTCAAAAGCTGGTTGGTTTAACAAAAGAAGGTCTCTTAATAAAAGAAATATGCCAAGTGTGGGGATATTCTGGGGCAGTTTCTTGAGACAGGAGGTTGCCTTATAAAGGAATGCAATCCAAGCTGGAAGCTTTTCTTCTTTTAACATGCAGGTTCAGAGTCCTGCATTTCTCCTGCAAGAGCTGACAGTGACACAACAAGAGTTCTTTAAATATTTCAGTTCCCTTTTCTGCTTTAGGTGTTTGCAATGTTATGAACACTTGCAAAAAAAAAATTACACAGAGGTCATGACAAGTAAATGAAATAAGAAGTGATTTTTCAACTATGTTATTTCACAGTGTATTTGTATATATACTTTAGTTATGGATTTAGGATCTTAACTATTTCCTTGTATTTGTTTAAAAAAGCATCTCAGTTCATCCCAAAGTGTAATTTTAGTCTAAAAAGACTATGTAAAAGTAGCAGCTTACTCACAAATTAAAACTAGAAAAAAGGTATAAGTGGCTTTCCCATCTATTTGTACAGAATCTAAGTACTGGTTTCTCCCTCACAGGATCCCAGAGCCCAGGCTCCAGCCCGAACCTGAATGTCTACACCGCAATTAAACAGCCACTGAGCCTGAGCCCAAGTCAGCTGACACAGGCCAGCCGCAAGGTTTTAACTGTAGTGTAGACATATTCTGAGAAGCTGAAATACACTGATTCTGCTACAAAGGCCTTACACTTTCATGGGCAGGGAAGGGGGGAGGGAATTCAAGGCCAAAAGGAGTGAACCCCTTTTAAATGAAGTGTTGATGTTTGTGTGTCTTAGTTTTACCTCTCAAAACTAGTGTGTGTCTGGAAATTCTTGGAAGCTTCAACACTCCCCTCTCATCCACACCAAAATTTGTGCACTTTGAGCAGCAGGTAACATGATAAATAGTCTCACCAAATCATACAGGTGAGGAATTATTAACAACTCCCTGTTTCAGATGTGATGCATTGGTCTTTTGTGCTGTCATATTGTATCGCAAACGTATATCCAAAATATGCTGCCTACTTTCACTCTCAAGCAGGTTCCAGTGTATTCCATGATTGGAGAATCTGATGCAGAATTTACTCCTTGGCACACAATTGTGCTCCAGAATCCCTGCGCTCCCTTTTTTAATTGTTTCTAGCCTTTATGGTTGCAGAGATAACCTTGACAATGTGAAGTGTGTAAATCAATGCAGTAATGTCTTCTTGAGTCTACAGAGAGTCTGAAACATTACCTGTAAGAGGTGTAAACTGCTCTGCTCATCTCAATCAGGGCCCCAGGAACTCTGCCTCCTTCTCTCCCTATGAGTGCCAAGGAGTGGAAGGAGACAGAAATGTAGGATGATGGGCTGGGCTGCCAAGGCACAACAGCCAAGGCCCAATGAAGCCAGCTATGTGCGCCACTTTCCCTGATACACAGTGGGGGTGGGAGAGGGACATTCTTACTCAGACTGCCTTGCCAACATTGTAGGAGCCAAAATCCTGGGAATCCCATTCCTGGGTCATTTGGAGAGTTTAATCAAAATCCCAACCTCAAATAATCACTATTCAATTCAACATTAAGGAGTATTTTCAGCTATAAATGACAGGTTCTGTTTGTGTGTGTCGTGGCAGGGGAAAACATGGAGAATGAAGGGTATTTTCTAGTAATGAATGAGTTATTAATATTGGCACCGAATTTAGGGGTTGTTACTGCAGAATTTGGTTCCAGTGCACCTATTGCAGGCCTTGAAATTGTTTATTGTGTTACTGAGAAGGCAAGGCCCCCTAACCCCAAACTGTTGGGAAAGGGGAGAATGCAAACATTTCTGCTAGGATGCTGACCCTGGTCTCTGTTTGTGGGTTTCATCTTTTATATCAGCCTCTAGATAGCGGAAGTCATAGAAATTAGAAACTTTCTGTATCAGGGGAGTTTTTCAGGCTCTGTGTCTATTGCATTAACTTCATCCACTATGCCTATAATTCTAATTTAGCAAAAAACATACAATCTATCATGTGTCTGGCAGTTCTAATATTTATAAGCCACACCAGTACTTATGTTCCTTTTCTACAGTGGGCTTTTTCTTAAAAATTTCCCACCACTGCTACGAGAGGGAGAGTCACAATGATGATAAGAACATTTTTACATAGAAGTCAAGTGTAGACTCAGCCAGGGAGTAACAAACAGCATCAGCTGATAAAAGCTTTTGTTACTACCAACTTGGACTGGATAAGATCCAGTGGCCTAGCTGAAAGCCTCCATCATTCCTATTATCTATGATGGCTCAAAGTGCCCAGGAAATGTCAACAGTGAACCCCATCTGAGTGTAACTATAGTTCAGCCACAAAAAGTTCAGGATACCAGTTTTTAATAATCAAATGATAGCATCTCACAACACAATAGTGTTCAGAGAGAAAAATGTCTTACCGTGCAACAGTTTTCCAAACATACTAAGTATGGATGCCACCATGAACCTTCCGTTGTCCCATGACTTATTGGAGAAATCCTCATCTAGGCCATTCTTTCTCTTGTAAATGTGCAGGAGAAGATTTAAAAAGCAACTAACGCTTATAAAAATTAAAATAGGTGCAAATATTATGTTTAACACACACAAGATGAAGCCGATATAGTATAAATAGTGGCACTCCACACCAGTCCATTCTTCTAATATGTAAGTCAGCCAGGTCGAGCTAATCACTGATTCCTGCCATGAAGTATGGGATTCACTTTTACTTAACATCTTCTGTTAAAAGAATTAGGCAAACTGAGTCAAACTCTCTTCGTAATCAAAGCAGTTTCTTAACCTTGCTCCTAGAAAGAAAGAACACGCTGTTCATTTATTCCTACTACTACCAGAGAAGTTACAGACATGCTTTCATTGTATTTAAATGATGTTCTTAATATCCTATTTTTCTCATGTGAAGTAGGACTTTGATATAACTATTTTTAAACACATTGCAGTAGTGCCAGAGGAAAATCAGCGGAAGAGGGGATTGACCGTAGCAGAGGAATCCTGGCAGTGGCCAGTGATGGACCAAGTGTCATGGAAGGCCTGTGCAAGGGGGTAAGGAGCAACATTGATGGGCATTAGGTGATGGTTAGAGAGAGGGAGTGCTGAAAGAATAGACCTGAGATGCAAGAGTTTTTATTCAGAACAAGATTCAATGAGTGATCATCTTGGTGAGCAAAAAAGCTGTTCCAGGGCTGAAGATCAAATGAGGCGGGAAGGATGAGGAAATGAGGCTGAGGAGGCAGCAACTAATGGGTCAGAGGAGACATGGACACGGAAGGTGTATTCAAAGAGTATGAAGGAGGACTGCATAGAGGCAGAGGGAAAACTAGTAATCAGAGAGGAAGGTGGTCAAGGTAACAAAATAAGGAACCTGCTCCTTCCTAGATGGTCCTCTCCCTACTTGTTTCTCTCCCTCCCAATGGAAGCCATTATGAAACCTTTGGAGCTAGAGTTTACGATTTGGCAGGGTGTGACCTTTGTGCCAATAATCTGCCTTTTACTATCCTCATGAAAATCTACCCAAATTTGGTGAAGTTATAAGCCTTTGAAAAATCACAGTTCATCCATGCTCAGTAGAGACTTCAATTTTAGCAGCTAAATTCCCCTAATATAATATCTGCACTGAGCATGCTCCAGCGCATGGTTGAGCAGGGCTCCCATGACAATTTTGGATTGGTAATATTTAATAGTCTCATCATAGGAAATATTTCTAAAATTAAGACTACAGGAACGCTTATACTTAAGGTCAGAAGCTTCTACAAATGCTAAAGCTAATGACTGAAAAATAAGCCAAATAAACTAATATAAAAGTGCAACTCCCACAACCCTTAAATTGGAAACCTGCCATCGTATTTGACAAATATCCTTATATGGACACTATTGACTTTAAGTCAAATCAATTTAAAAAATAGTCAATTAGAAATAGTTTCAGCTCCTATATGTGCCCCTGACCCCATAGGCCAGTGTTTGTGGGTTTTCAATCACATTTTATTCTTTAATTATATTTTCTTCCCTTTGCTCCATGAAAAACCCAGCCAAGAGAACTTGACTGGCTGCACAAGGGAACTGGTGAAACTGTCTATACACAGAATGCAATCACATGAATGTAGGAATTGCCAGATGGGCCAGTGTTTCATCTGGTCCCCAGTGTTCTGTCTCTATCAGTGACCATTACAAGATGCAAGAAACCCCGAAGTGGGCATTTATGGAATAACCTGCTCCTATTCTGTTCTCTTTATACTCTACAGAACACCCATCATTCTGCTAATCTAATGCCCATCAATTAGAAGTTAGTTAATCGCTGAAGAATAAGAGTTGATCACTTCCATTTTTCTTAAATATTACCTAACCTTACTGCAGATGTTCCCTGAATCCTATAAACGTCTAACTTGTGTGTGTGTATGTGTGTCCTACTAAACTCTTGGCCTAAATGATATATTGTGGCAGAGTTTCCACGTGCTACTTATGCATTAGGTAAACGATCCTTTTATCCCTTTTAAATGTGAGCCTGTTAACTTCCTTGAAAGTCCCATGGTTGCCTTATGAGAGAGGATAGGGTTGACAGAAGCAAATTATCGCCTCTTTCATCTCCATCTCTAAACAGTCCCGATCTTCCCAAGCTCTCTTGCAACACAAGCTTTCCCCCGCTTCTCAGCGTCAGTTTTGGTTGTTGCCCCGGCAGACCCCCTCCACTTCTGTCAAATGCACAAACTAAAGTAACTCCTGTACTCGCGCGAGCCGCACCAAGGCGCCGGGCACAAGGCGGAGGGAGGCGCCCGCGCAGGGCAGAGGCTGCGCCGCAGCCCGGGGAATGGGAACCCTGCGACTGATCCGTTGGCCGCTGTCACGCTGCGTTGGGCGCGCTCGCTCCCCACCTTGTGCCCTGTCGCTCTCGCGTCAGTGGAGCAGCCGCCGCGCGGAGCCCGCGTCTCCCCACTGCCCCCCGGGACCGAGAATCCCCCGCGCTCCCCGGCGCCGCGCTGGGAAATGCCGGCCGGGCCTCGCGCGCAGCCCTGCCCCCCAGTCCGATTCCTGCCCCTCACCTGGTTACGGCGGCAGCTCCGGCTCTGCGCTCCGCTTTGTCTCATCCACTGGCCGCCTCCAGCGCCGCTGGGTCCCGGCCTGGGGGCGGCACCCGGCAGCATTGCTGGTGCTAGTTTCGGGTGCTTGTGAAAATCGCCCAGCGGCACAAGTGGGAGCCGCCCCATCCTGGGCCCTGCCCCCGGAGCCCCTGGCCTTGGGCGCGAGCATGAACCGGGATTGAAAAAACACCCCCCAGAACAACAAACGTTTTAGCGATGAAAAGCGCGGGCGTGGACAGTGCTTAGTCTGCGGGAGCCTCGACGAAGTTACCAGTTCTGGTTGGGGGTGGTTGTATTTTGTGGACGGGCGAGCTCGCTCCCAGCGATAAAGAGCGGCCACACACCTTACAACGAGACGGCTGCAGCGGCAAAGCCGCGCTATTGTAAGGGTCGTAGTGTAGACAACCACTATTCCGCTCCCTTCCACCCCCGAATGATAAAACCTGGCCCCTAGGGTCATAAGCCTCTGATAGCAGCGTGAGGTATCTTGTTCCTACAGCTCAGCACTGCCTGAAGCCAGGAGAGAGAGGGAAATGGTCACAAATACTACAGGATTTCTTTCCAGAGACAGCCTAAGAACTACTAAAACCTTGGCAATATGATTAACATTGAGAAGCGGGATTGAAAAACCAAAGAAAAACAACCTGTCAATGCTGAGTGGCTTCTTTGACCAACTGGATTCCTCAGCGGCATAGGAGAAATGCACTTTCCATTTTGTAAAAATGAAACATTGTCAACTTAGCTGATAAAACCAAAAATTGAGGGCTTAGCTACTTTTCTGCCCTTGCTTTGATTTGATCACAAGTGGAAATAAGATATCTGTTTGAATCTTTATCACAAGGGCCTTCCTCTGTGACTGGGGAAAAGCTTCCTTGGCGGAATGATTCTGCAAGGCGTGGGTGACTGTATATTTATTTTATTCATTTGGTGTCACACCCAAATGCCTTTCTTTAGATTTTCTTGAAATGTGCTAATAAACTGTTTTAATAAAAACTTGGCCCCCTGTATTGCTATCCCTAATCATTCAAAAATAATGAATCAGACACCCCAAAAATCAGAGTGTTACCAACTCTCATGACTTTGTCATGATTCTCTTGCTAATTATTGTTTTCCTTAAAGCCTCAGCTCCTGGAGTCAAGTGGAAATGTGATGCTTTCAGCCTTTTTCTTAGAAAAAATACATTTCTAGCCCTCATGGCTGTGGAGACAGCTTCAAAATGTGACACCAATATTCCCTAAAGTCTCAACAAGCAGAAGGCAAATAAAAACACCAAATCCATTATTTTTACATAATCTCATAATTTTAAAGCCAATCTCATGATTTTTGGTGAGCCTGACTCATGATTTTTGAACATTTGGGGTTGGCAATACTGAAATCACGATTGGCTTAAAATCCGTGAGATTTTAAAAACATAAGGCATTGTGAGTTCCTTTCTTTTTGCCTTCTGGTTTCTGAGCTTTTAGGTTACTTTGCTCATCTTTTCATAGATTCCAAGGCCAGAAGGGTCCATTGTGACCATGTAGTCTGACCTTTGTATAACAAAGGCCACAGAACTGACCCAAAGTAATTCCTAAAGTATATATTTTAGAAAAACACCCAGTCTTCATTTAAAAATTATCAGTCATGGAGAATCTATTACAACCCTTGCCACATAGTTCCAGTGGTTAATTACTTTCACTGTTAGATATTTACACCTTATTTCCAGTCTGAATTTGTCTAGCTTCAGCTTCCAGCCACTGGATTGTATTAAACCTTTCTTTGCTAGACTGAAGAGCTCATTATTAAATATTTGTTCCCCATGTAATATTTGTTCCCCCACTCATAAACTGTGGTTCTTCTCTGAACTCTCTCCAATTTATCAACATCCTTCCAGAATTGTGGACACCAGAACTGAGCACAGTATTCCAGAAGCAGTCACACCAAAAATAGAGGTAAAATAACCTCTCTACTCCTATTTAAGACTCCTCTATTTATGCATCCAAGGATTGCATTAGCCCTTTTGGCTAATCACATTCGGAGCTTATGTTCAGCTGACTATCCACCATGACCCGCAAAGTCATTGCTTCCCAAGATATAGCCCCCTCTTCCCCCATCCTGTTAGTATGGCCTACATTCTTCATTCCTAGATGTATATATTCACATTTAGCCATATAAAACCACCTATTATTTGCTTGAGCCCAGTTTATCAAGCAATCCAGATTGCTCTGTATTAGTGACCAGTACTCTTCATTATTTACCACTCCCCCAAATTTTGTGTCATCTGCAAACTTTATCAGTGATGATTTTATGTCTTCTCCTAGGTTTTTGGTAAAAGTATTAAATAGTATAGGGCCAAGAATATATCCCTGTAGGACCTCACTAGAAACACACCCACTCGATGATGATTCGCTGTTAACAATTACATTTTAAACCTATCAGTTAGCCAGTTTTTAATCCATTTAATGCATGCCAGGTTAATTTTATATTTTTCTAGTTTTTTAATCAAAATGTCATGCAGTACCAAGTCAAATGCCTTACAGAAGTCTAGTATCAGGGGGTAGCCGTGTTAGTCTGTATCTACAAAAACATCTGTTGTTTTTACAGAAGTCTAAATATATTACATCAACACTATTGCATTTATCACCCAAACCTATAATTTCATCAAAA